CTTCATCCCAACCCAGCTACCTCTCATCCCGATCTGGAGAAGAATCAGAGGACGACGGAGCAGCATCCTTCCTGTGATGTTTGTCCTTTTTCTTTTCCTTCTTGTGTTTCCTCTTTTTTTTTTTCTTTTTCTCCTTTTTGGATTTCTTACCGCCCTCCGGTCTGCGGGGGAAGAGATCAAGCGGTGAGGATCCCTACCCCACGCATCCCTCTGCCTCCTCCTCCTCAGACAGCTCATCCCCATCCCTCCTTCCACATGGATCCCGCCACATCCCTCCTTGGCCAAGGAGAAACCACCAGAAAAAAAAAAAAAAAAATGTTGGGGGCAAAGCAGAGGTTTTGGCGATGATTCAGGCAGACACAGAACAAGCCAAACGCAGCCAGAGAAGCGTTCTGCAAAGTTTTCGTCGCCCAAAAAGACCATTTCTGGTGGTTTCCCACCAAAGCGGTGGTCCCCATCCTCACCGTTTCTCCTCCACCTTCTCCTCCTTTTCCTGCTTCTTCTTGGAGCCAGACGTCTCAGGGCTGCTGGAGACTTTCTGGTGCTAGGGTTTGGAGAAAGGGGGAAAAAATACGGAGCGAGAATGTGAGCTCGTAGCTTCGAATTACAAGAAAAAGGGACCATCTCCCCTTAAAAATTCAAGTCCATTTGGAAAAAAACATTCAAATATTCCATTAAATTTGGGGGGGGGAAAAAAAAATATCCGCAAGAGCCGCTTCCAAATTAAAAACCCACAAATTAATGCCGTGCAAACAGGACACGGGGAGCTCTTGCAGGCCTCCGCGCTACAACCACCAGCTTTGCTTTTAAAGAAAACATCCCGAGTGTGGGGCAGGGCTTTTTGCCTTTTTCCATCTTTTTTTTTTTTTTGTTTTTTTTTAAACCTCACGAGGAAGACGTGACCCGTGCCGACGCCGTACCGTGAAGACGGAGAGCCCCATTTTGGCCGCTTCCTTGTCCTCCTTGGAGAGCATCCCCCGGCCGGCGCTGCCGCTGGGGAGAGGCGTCGCCACAGGGAGTTATGAAATAAATAAACACCAAAAAAAAAAAAAAAACCCAGCCAAAAAAGCATAAAAATGGTAAAATAAAAATTCTGAATTGCCCTGAAACGGGGCGTTTTGGCACGGAATCCCTTCCACCCTGTACCTGGAGCTGCCCAAGCCCACAACCCGGTCCACGTCCTTCTC